ACAGTGGCAGCTCAGCATCTGGGAAGAAAACAACAATGCCTAGTCTACAGGTGGCCTGAAAGTGAGAACTGTGAGTGGTACAGGTAACCTATGTGCTGTCTGGGTAAAAGCCATAGTCTGAAAATGTCAGTTTCGGTCTCTTCCATGTTAAATGCATTGAGTGCCAACATTAGGATTTCCATTAAGAAATACTGTTTCCTGCATAATCATGATAGATTCTGAAAGTGTTCCATTTATTGACAAAACCATTATTGGGTCCTGTTAATGGTGTATTCTTCCATTCTACCACCATTCTCAGCCTTCACTATGCATCTGAATCACCTGGGATGTTTCTAAAACATTTCAAAGGCTAAACTTCACTCAGACCAAATGACATAGAAGAACTGGAGCCAGAGTATCTATTTTTAAAGCTCCCTCAGATGATTTGGATGCACAGTGTTCTAGAGTATACACTAGTCTTAAAGTTAGTTTGGAAAGTAAGCACAAGTTGAGAAAGCCTCCAAATTGAAGGTGATTTAGATTCAAGGGCCCATCTCTGCACTCTGAAGTATTGTACCAGGCTGATCCAGTTTAATTTTGAAGTAAAATTTTAATTTACCCTTTAAGTGATGTTTAGCAAGAATTGAATTTGTTAGGACTTGGAGAATATGTGTATCTGTAATAATCTGGGTGGAATAAATTATGCCAGATTGGCGGGGGGGGAGGTGTTAGTTTTATTTTGTTTGATGTGAGACAATGTAGTATAATGAGAAGAATATGGGCCCTGGGTTTTAAATCCTAAATCTACCACTCACTAGTCATGTCACTTTAAAAGGAGAATGAGACCTTTTTTACTAGTTGTGGTAAGGCTCAAATTAGATACAGACATGAAAGTATTTCACAAACCATAAAACCATGTATCTCAGCATTTTTAAATCTTTGCCCTCCCCACTTTGAGAAATATACAAATCTCATGCCTTTCTAAAATGTTAGTTGAAATTAAACATTGTGATTAAAAACAAACAGAAAGGCTGCTTTGTCTTCTCCCTCCTCTCCCCCTTGAGAATGACCTCTCAAAGCATGTTACTTGTGGTAATTAAAATGTTAACGTGAAGTCAGAAGCGTGGTGAAAGCAGGCACCATCTCGCTTCCTTGTGTCCTTTGCACCACCAAGCACACAGTGGTGTACACAGAGTAAGAACTCAATAAAGACTTGCTAAAAATCAAATTAAGCAAATTTATAGGAATTCAGACAATAGAACCAAAATCCTCTTTCGTAGGCCTTTGAGAAATGAAGTAATTTGTAAGGGAATTTGGGACCCACTACAATGAAATTCTTATGCTATTAAGTTTGAGAAAGCAGAAAAGAATCAGGAAAGGTAATACTGAGAATGAAATGTAAATCTAAACTGGGGGTAGGGATGGTTTGTATCTATAGTTAACACTTTATTGATTAGGCTAATGGCACAAATACATACATGATAGTATTATTTATTTTTTATTTCAGAATATTACAGGGGTACGAATTTTTAGGTTACATATATTGCCTTTGTACCACACACAATAGTATTTAACTTGGAACTACAGGACAAGTTTTGTAGCATATTTATCTTCCTTTGCTTAAGATAAATATTAATATTTTGCTTTTTAATATTAGCTTATATTCCTCAAAATGTACCCACTGACGATGATGCATAAAAAAACCAGAAGTAAACCAATTTAGGATTTAAATGTTTTCTGTAGCTTGTCCATATGCAGATAAGAAAAAGAGAGAGTTATTTTTTTAGAGTACACACTTGTGAATTAATTTCCCTACTAATGCCCACTACAGTAGGTAGAATTTGTATCTACTTACCTAGGTAGATTGACATTCTGGTGTAGGTGAAAATTTGGAGTTGAATGAATGAATGAATGAATGTCAAAAATTGGGTGCGATAGCTCATGCCTATAATCCTAGCACTTTGGGAAGCTGAGGCAGGAGAATTGCTTGAGGCCCGGAGTTCGAGGACCAGCCTGAACAACAGAGTGAGACCCCGTCTCTACAAAAAGTAGAAGAATTAGGCAGGCATGATGGTGTGTGCCTGTAGTCCCAGCTACTCTGAAGCCTGAGGCAGGAGGATCTCTTAAGCCCAGGAGTTTGAGCTTAGGGAGCTATGATGACAACACTGCACTCCAGCCTGGGCAACAGAGTGAGACCGTATCTTCAAAAAAAAAAAGTTTCCTCAATTTAAAAACACAAAACAACCCCCCCCTCCAAAATAGGAACTACAATTAGTCCTTAAAAAATTAAGTATTTGCTGCTAACTTCGAGAGACGCTAAAGTATCTGAGCTTTTCAACAAATTCACAAAGGAACAACTAGCAGCTGAGAGTAGAACTTTATTAAATAAGAAATAAAGCTTAAGTGGTATATAGGCATGTAGGAGCCAGTTTGTTGGGGAGGTCTGTTAGTGTTATTAATTTATAATTTTCAATAGTGGGTGGAGGTCCTGGCTGTTTCTGGTCCAAGTCTACATTTGACTGATTAGGAGTATCTGTGAAGTGGGAATCATTTATAGGGTTTGGCAGAAGAGAGTGAGTGGGAGACAAAGTGTTTCATGATAATGTGGCCTCTGGAGGCCCTCACACTAAGTGATGTTTAAATTTAGTTTCAACATTTGCAACCCAAATAGAGAGAGATTCACAGTTGACACAAAAATGAGTTGTCTTCATCCATCTTCCCATAAAGTTGCTTACTCTGAAAAGGATGGCGAATTTGGGATGTTCCCATAATTGCCTTACGTAGACAACATACATCCTTTTGTACATCAAAAGGAAAAAGCTGTGACTCAGGATGGAAGACCCGAGGAGACTGGTTTGCTGAGATTGCTCTTCACTAATTACACATGCTTGTTTGTTCCTTCTTTATTTTAGAATTAGAATAGAAAGAACTCATTACAGAAATCTGGGTCAGCTCTAAACTTTGGTTTTCTTGAGGATCTATGTTATTAAATAAGCCTGTAATCTTTTAATTGTAAAAAATAGTGATAAAGCATCTGTAAAGGTGAATCGATCTTTGAAGAGTGGCCTTTTCAATACTAACGAGAACTACTTCATATTGCCCATCCTGGAAAGGTTAAACCCGATTATTTCTCAGGGGAGCTCAGCCAAGACTCAGTCTCCTCCTGAGCCAAAACTTGCTTTCTCAAGCAAGGCTCATTTGAACCGTTTACCTTTAGGAGGAATGCAGCTTTACTCCCAGGTCCACTTATCTCCATGCAAAACCATGCCTGTGCTTTAACTGTTACATTAAAGGTTATTGCTGTGGTTGTAAAATTTAAAATATCATGGTCAAGAAGCTGGGAGTATTGTTTTGGCATAAGCCTTTCTAAGGCATCCGTGACGGTAGGGGCTGTTTCACAGCCTGAGGCTCCCCTGCCTGTGGTTGTGGGAAGACACCCTCTCTATTCCTGCAAGGTATTTGTGGCTCTCTGAGGAACCCATTTTATACTGTTCAGTGCATGATCTTAGGAGGTAGCGTAGGAACTTTCTAGTCCTTGTTAGAATGTTTGCTTCAATCCAGAAGTGTTTTACAACACAGGACGTCCCATGGTAAAGAACGAGCTCACAGAGAAAGTGCTGAGGAATGAAACTTGGAATGTGCCACTGTTTTCTCATCCTTTTCTCATCCTGAGACAGAGTGACCTGTGTAGCAGCATAACCAGCTGATAAAAGTTCAGCGAGCTCCCAAGCCTGGCAACCATAGTAAATCCTCTGTAAGCAAGAGAGACGGTTTTCAAGTTGATTATATTTTATAATTAACGGAAGGTTGTCCAGAAAACCATATTTGCTTTACCTCATGTTGATGGAAGTCTTTCTAAAAAGATTGGGTCTACTTTCTGTTTTTAGTATGATTATATAAATGTAGTTTAATCATTTTTTATAATTAAGACTCTTCACCACCTCCATAGCATTATCTTGATAATGAAAGGTTATTCTGTATTTCCTATAATATGGCTGTTCAAGGTAAATTTATTGGGCTGAAAGTATACAGACTCCAGAACAGCTCCAAAGTTATTAGCTTAAGGGGAGAAAATCCCTAATATGAGATTTTATCATTTTCTTCAGTTTTCTGAAAACAGATTATAGAAAAATTCCATCTAATTGAGGGTTATGAATTCTCTGAATGTGACTATTACTAGTTTAAATAATGAAAAATATGCTGGTGAAAGGGGAATTTTATTCCTAAGTCCTGAATTTTAGTTCTGCTCCACTCTGGGTCTTAAAATAAGATTCAGGACACGTTACAGAGCCTCTGTGTCATCCAGGTCTTCCAATGCTGGAATGTAAAATATATCCCTTGGAATGAAAAGCATGCGATTTTGCTTTCTTTACTGGAATGTATTGTATTATTGTAATTAGAATTCATTTTCCTATTTTATGGAATATTTTATCCCACTATACATAACCATATATACATCTATATGTACATGTATGTATACAAATTATTAAGATTTGCATTTTGGATACTTATCTATAAGGTACAGAACTCCTTTCAGATCATCATATTTTAGGGGGGAAGAAAGGCCTCTATGAGTGTCTGTTCCCATAGCTTTTCACTCAGACTATAAATTAGGCCTGGGAAGGCTATAATGAGTCAGTAATTTATAGACTATTAAGATACTTAGTTAGAAGTGATTCCTGAGCATGTCGAATAGAGAACACATGTTTATAAAAGACAAACAGATTCAACACATCTCTTTGGCCTAACCAAGCCCAATCAATTAACAAAATGGGATGTCTTACTTTGCATATCTCCCCCTTCCCCAAAATAGAATCACTAACCACTTGTTAACCACACTGACTTTTAATAGACAGAATGGTTGCTATAGCTTTGCCACCAAAAATGTTCAGATTAAGCGTTCTATTCTATTGTAGCCAGCAGGAAGCACAAAACAGGAAGAAAGCTCTGCATGTTTTTTGCCTCTTTTCCTTGTTTGACTTGATGTGATAATTCACTGCAGATTTCCTTTTCTTTGACAGAGCGCCTACCGCAGGAATGGGACGGCTTTTCTAGCCTGCTGATGTGCCCGTGCCCGTGCCTGCACCAACAGGAAAGGATGAAGGTGATTTCTTTTTCCTCCTTGAACAAAATAAAATACAAGTTTACTTTTGCTGTATCCTAGGGAGTGGGCTGATTTGTTGTGACTATCAACTTCAACTGGCTGACTCCTGCTCTTTTCCAGCCCCCTCAACGATTAGTCTTGTTTACTAGATGGGCCATTTAGCTAATTAATGGCAGGATGTTTGGGAAAGTGTGTAGGTGGACAAGAATGCAGATCACACAATTTTGAAATTTTAATTTGAAGTAGATTTACTGCCCTCAGCTCACATATCTTAAAAGCAGTGCCCTCCCCCACCACACACCAGTGTTTAGTCTGTGCTTTATTCAGTACATTTTATAATCCAGGTTTGGGATAAAGGAAATGGGACAGTCGGTTTTCTCCTTCCATTATACCATCTTTACTTTCCAACATTTGTTGACTATATCTACATGTATTTTAGGAACAACTATTCATTTTATAAACTTACACTAATCAAAGATCTAGCCAACCTAGTGAACCACCTGTTCCCATCTCCTCTTCCTTTCACCCCACTTACCGTCTGTGTGTTATTTTCAGTGCCTTCTTCCCAGCTTCCTGCCATCTGCCTACGATGTGTGTTTTCTTCACATAGAACCTCTTCCTCCATCTTCATTGCCCTCTTTTTCCTGTTCCTCCAGTCCCCACGCCCACCACTCCTACACATGCCATACCCATTTAGAAGCAAAGATATCAGAATCAGTAGAGGGGAAGCAGAGTGATTTGCTTCCTCGCTGCAAAGCAAGAACTATCACACCTGGCCTGGAAACATGGGCTGGGGTAGTTTCTTGCTGGTAGCAGCTGAGCTACCCTCTGGCATCTATGCTTTCTTCAGTAAAGGAGGAACTATAACTCTTGGGAACAAACTGAAAAATAGCAGATGTAGTTATACAGTTCCTGATTAAACTTGAATTACAAAAAAGGAAGTTATTTCTTTAATTTTGTGGGAGTTTTGTATAATTTTACTTTTATCATGGTTTTTACACATACTTAAAACAGACTTTGTAAAGAATTAATAAAAACAGAAAGGAGACACATGAAAGATTTTTTTTTCTTGTGACCAAGTCATTGTGAGTTTCAGTTAATATGATTATGTCGTGTTATTCACATTTGTTAACTGTCATTTACCTGTTCTATGGTAATCCTTTTGGGAAAAAATTGCATGTCAAAAACGAACAAACAAAAAATGCAGATATGTAATAGTGAAAAATTGCCAAAGCGTTTTGATGTTCCATCTATGCTTGTTGCAATATATGATTAAACTTTTCTTTTTATCATCATTCTTATTTTCCTTGGCATCCCTAATCATGGAAAATTATAAGCTTGCAGTAAACATCCTAACTTTTAAAACAATACCATTTATTGTATTTGATTTCGATCTGCCAGGCTTATAGATGGTATAAAATTTGGGGGAGCTAATTTTTCACATCAAAATTCCTTCTCTCCCACATTATACATTTCAAATTATGCACAAGGCATAAAATACAGAGTTTAGTTTTTCCCCTTCATTTTATTCTACCTGATCTCCTTATAGTCCCAGAGAAGGAAGAATCAATGTACATTTCTCTCAGAAATATGACAGGTCTATGTTTTTGTTGGTCTGGCATATGTTTGTCTATCTTGAACAGTCTGACAGGTAATTATTTATAAAATCTGGTTTTGCCCAGTAAGTTCATATAATAACCTTTCACTTTTCATCATAAGCCAGAGAGCTGAATTTAGAATAAAACAAGGTCATTTATGTCTGTCTTGAACCAGCCTAGATGTCCCCATAATTGCTCAATATTAATATTTTTTTATTCTTTTTCTTTTCCTTTTCTACACTTAGGTTCTTTCTCTGACTCTGTCCACAACACTAAATTTGAAGTGAAATAAAATTTCCTTAAGCAGTGGAGTATAGAAAAAAGAGAAAATTTATAGGAGGAAAGTTTCAGAAAATGTGACTTCAGTAAACAGTTCTCTCAAGATTAAAATGTTATGTAGAATCATGATGTTAAGAGTGGAAGATAGTCTTAGAAATCGTTGAGAACAGCCACTCATTTCACAGATGAATAAAGCATGGCCTAGAGAGGGAAAGTGACTTTCCCAGAATCAGTGAATAATGGTAGTGACAGAACAGAGACAAGAATCCACGGTACCTAATTTTCAGCCTGGTATCATACAGTGTTCTCTACCACACTGGGTTTGCATAAAAATACTGCCAAGACACATTGGGTTTTATGGCATATTTATCCTAGAAAATAATGTAAATTTATTTTTTAAAATGTTGCTAATTATGGACACATCCTAAAGGGTGTGACATATTAAAATCTTCAAAAGTCCTGCAATATTAATTAAACAATCTGCATTCTCTTAAACATCAGGCTCAACTCTAAACCAAATGAGATGTACAAAACTAGTTTTCTATATTTTGTGCCTTATTTTTTGAGATTGAATTTGAAAATAAACCAACAAATAAATAAATGGCCTCTCTCATGGGAAATTGATACTGTTCCCTAGATTTAAATAAGGGTAAAGAAAATAGGCCAGGCTTGGTGGCTCACGCCTGTAATCCTAGCACTCTGGGAGGCTGAGGCGGGCGAATTGTTTGAGCTCAGGAGTTTGAAACCAGCCTGAGCAAGAGCAAGACCCGCCTCTACTAAAAATAGAAAGAAATTAATCGGACAACTAAAAATATATAGAAAAAATTAGCTCGGCATGGTGGCGCATGCCTGTAGTCCCAGCTACTCGGGAGGCTGAGGCAGAAGGATCGCTTGAGCCCAGGAGTTTGAGGTTGCTGTGAGCTAGGATGATGCCACAGCACTCTAGCCTGGGCAACACAGTGAGACTCTGTCTCAAAAAAAAAAAGAAAATAGAAATATTTCCCCTTCACCTAAATTTGGAAGTGTGACTCTCTAAACATGGCATTTTGAGGTATGTCATTAGCCTTCCTGCCTTCACATATTGTACTAGTTGTGATTGAAAAATTATGTTCCCATTTTAGAACTAAGAGTTTTTATTTGAAAACCATCAGAAGCACAAATATTTTTTAAATGGCATATATAATTCTTGTATCTGGGGAGAACCCTTCATTTACTACTGTTTGTTCTTTGTTTTTATAAAACAATAAACAACCCACGTTTAGTGCTTTTACCATGTAGAAGACAAACATAACTGGTGATTCTTGGTCTGAAAGAAAACAAGTTTACTTGTCTAGAAATTACAAAGTTTAATTTTATGATTTTTTAAATATAGTTCCCAAATCAGACACTACTTTCTAGTTCATATAATCCCCTGTATAAAACTGAATCACTACAGAGAACATATTCTCTCATCTGTCCTCCGGGAATTTGGATAGAACCTTCCCAGGTTGCATTTAAAATTCTACCATCAACCATGTATACATCTCATAAAATATTTTACAGTTTCCTGTATGCTCTGGCTGAACATTTCATAGTACATAAACACTTCTGTGAATAATCTAAGGGTATCAAGTTGAATGTGTCATAGCAGTGGCCCCCATATAAAGCTAATTCTCCAGCAATGTATTTTCTTAAATTTATCTTCTTATTTGAAATCTAAGATGAAGCTTTCTGTGCTGTTGTCATATAGTGGTGCGGTTGGCTGCAAGCAGGGGCTCGAGCAGTTTTAGTGGAGTTGTATTCATTAAAGCGAAGGCTTTCTGCAGAGGGCATGAAGCCAAGCTTAAACAACAAAACTATGCCTGCAGGAGTTGGATGTAAATGTGATGGTTAAATAAGGGCCAGATGCCTTTGAAAACTCAAATATTAAAAAGTTGTATCTCTTAAAGTAAGTCTCAAGTGTTGTGTGTAGGACAGTGATACCACAGTACTTAAAGAGACTTACATTTGTTTTCTGGAACAAAATATTAAGTATTCAAGCTGTCATAACTCATGGAAATTCTGGCAATTGAAACATATTTTAAAACAATCAATTCCTACAAAGTCACAAGAACCCCACACACAATATTTCATTGTTGGGAACCACTATAATTCTGAATAGAGCATTATATTCGTGATCTCTTTTCTACTCATCACCACTCAATATTCACTATTCTCATTTTTTTCAAAGGGAGGTAAAAATAGAAAAAGAGGAAAAACCAAGAATCAAGGTGATCAAAATATAGTTTTGTTTATACCAGATAACATTCTACTTGCTATCGAAAATGATGATCTATTATGTCAGCATTTTAATAAGTTTGACATAATAATTATAGCACACAGTGTGCTAAGCACTTTGTGAGATTTATCTCATTTAATGCTCACACCCCCAATATGAGATCTGCACTATTATTCTCCCTGTTGCCCACAGGCGGGAGAGAGGAGACTGAGTAACAGCAGGTTAAGTGCCGTATGCAGTTACCCAAGATGGAGCTGGCATTTGCACCCAGCACTGGGATCTCATGCTGTTAACCACTATTACACAGCATGGACTATACTGAAGATTTCTGATAGCATATTAAAGAGAATTGCTGCCTGACCTTGAACCTAGAAGCACTACTCAATACCAAAAAAACTTGATTACAAGAAAATGTCTTTTTCGCTGGGCATGGTGGCTCATACCTGTAATCCTAGCACTCTGGAAGGCCAAGGTGGAAGAATCACTTGAGGTCAGGAGTTCGAGACCAGCCTGAGCAAGAGCGAGACCCTGTCTCTACTAAAAATAGAAAAATTAGCTGGGTGTGGTGGCATGTACCTGTAATCCCAGCTACTCGGGAGGCTGAGGCAGGAGGATCGCTTAAGCCCGAAGTTTGAGGTTGCTGTGAGATAGGCTGATGCCACCACACTCTAGTCCGGGTGACAGAGCAAGACTCCATCTCAAAAAAAAAAGAAAATGTCTTTTTAACTTAACATTCTTTCTCTGATGCCAAGTATTATGTATATAATAGAATATCATATAATATATAATAGAATATAATTATATAGAATTCTGGCAAGTTTTCAATAATGTCTTAAACTTTAAGATAAATACATATGATCAATGAACACACTAAGAGCCCCTATACAAATTAGGAGAAAAACTTCCTCAAAGATCTATGTGT